ACCCAGAAGTAAAAACCTATAACAAACAAATTTTATGTTATTTGGAATGTTTTTACTTTAAATTTTATGCTTGTGCCAGTTACTTTCGGCACACGGTAAGAGTATTAAACTCATCCATGCTTCCTAGCTTGGCTTTATTTAATATATCCCAAGTAATTATAAATTTTGGCACTTGTAGATTAAGATTAAATCAAACAAGCGTGGCGATGGGAATAGTTTCGATAAATATTTGATACTGCGAACAGTTTTTACATGAAATGAATTATAATTCAAACTTACCATGTAGAAATCCAGTTTGAAGGCAGGTTATTTTTGATTCTCAAGATAACTTTGGTCATATGAGTGAAAGATACACATTCGAAATGTAGATGCAAGTTCGGTCTACTGAAAATGAAAATCAAATATAAATATTGATGTTACAATAAAAAATTTTCATGTGATAAAGATTATTTTATAAGGTTTTAATTGTGCCAGTTACTTTCGGCACACGGTAAGAGTATTAAACTCATCCATGCTTCCTAGCTTGGCTTTATTCAATATATCCCAAGTAATTGTAAATTATGGCACTTGTAGATTAAGATTAAATCAAACAAGCGTGGCGATGGGAACAATTTTGACACATTTTTTATAGTGCATATAATTTTTACATACAGCAAATTATAATTTAAACTCACCATTTACACTTCAGTTTGAAGGCAATTAATGTTTCATTTTTAGGGTAGTCTTGGATAAATGATTGAAAGATACATCTCGAAATCAAAATACAAATTGAACCTACGGAAAATGAAAAACAAATTAGTATGTTACAAAATAAAAGCTTCATTTGAGAAATATTGTTTTGTAATGTTGTAATTGTGCCAGTTACTTTCGGCACACGGTAAGAGTATAAACTCATCCATGCTTCCTAGCTTGGCTTTTTTTAATATATCCCAAGTTATTATAAATTTTGGCACTTGTAGATTAAGATTAAATCAAACAAGCGTGGCGATGGGAACAATTTTGATACATTTTTATAGTGCATATAATTTTTACATACAGCAAATTATAATTCAAACTCACCATTTACCCTTCAGTTTGAAGGCAATTAATTTTTCATTTTTAGGGTAGTCTTGTATAAATGATTGAAAGATACACCTGGAAATGAAGATGAAAATTGAACCTACGAAAAAAGAAAAACAAATTAGTATGTTACAAAATAAAAGCTTCATTTGAGAAATATTGTTTTGTAATGTTGTAATTGTGCCAGTTACTTTCGGCACACGGTAAGAGTATAAACTCATCCATGCTTCCTAGCTTGGCTTTATTTAATATATCCCAATTAATTATACATTTTGGCACTTGTAGATTAAGATTAAATCAAACAAGCGTGGCGATGGGAATAGTTTCGATAAATATTTGATACTGCGAACAGTTTTTACATGCAATGAATTATAATTTAAACTTACCATTTACACTTCAGTTTGGAGACAATTAATTTTTCATTTTTAGGGTATTCTTGGATAAATGAATGAAAGATACACCTCGAAATGAAGATGTAAATTGAACCTACGAAAAAAGAAAAATAAATTAGTGTGTTACAAAATAAAAGCTTCATTTGAGAAATATTGTTTTGTAATGTTGTAATTGTGCCAGTTACTTTCGGCACACGGTAAGAGTATAAACTCATCCATGCTTCCTAGCTTGGCTTTATTTAATATATCCCAATTAATTATACATTTTGGCACTTGTAGATTAAGATTAAATCAAACAAGCGTGGCGATGGGAATCATTCGGTCTATTTATCAGAATATTTTACTTACATAGTGGTTGGTTTAGCCTTATTTGTATTTTTTTTCAAGAATGAAATTATTTGCACTAGGTAGGAATCATGAATTGACTTCATTTTTTTGGTGTTTCAGGTCCGACTGTCCTACTGTAAGAAAAAACAAACAAACATTTAATAAACAAATTTCATAAGATCTAATTGCTAATTTTTTTGAAAACTGAATCATAAAATAATACAGCCAAAGATTATTATCATTATAATCAAACGGTAATTTTTATAATCATTTTAATTATTTTCAATTTTTTTTTTTTTTTTTTTTGAAGAGCTTACATCATTTGCCAATTATTAAGGAAAAAAAGTAATTCTTTCACGGTACTTAATGCTCAATGATGTTAAAAATTTTTGCATATTCCGCACAGTCTAAAATGACTTACTTATCAAATGAATTATAATAACTTACCTAAATCAAGTATGACCAGTCAGCTTTTAAGAGAAGTTACGTTCATTTTCATTTGGCATTTTGCAGCTAAACTGCATTTTGTTCATTTCTGAAAAAAAATTGATAATTAAATGATGAATTTTACAATTATTTTCAATAAAGAAAAATTATATTAGTACTTGATCATTAAAAATTACAGCCAAAAATTATTATCATTTTAATCAAACGGTAATTATTTTAATCATCTCGAGATTTTCGTAAAATAAATCATATAAAGAGATATTATAATAATAATAATTAAGAAGTCGTTTTATGCTACGAAAATTGAATCAATTTCAAGTGGAAACTTACCATAATTTTTGCCATGAGTACCTTCAATACATATTATTGTAAACTCGAATCTGCAAAAGTAAGAAAAAAATTATTGTAATCCATATTAAATTGTAATTGGTCTTAATGATCAACACGGTTTTTTTATTTTAGAGCGAATGTGGTTTGATTAAACCACTAATTTGAAAATTTCATGACAAGTACTTCTTGATGAACAGTAAAAAATTATTAGCATCGTTTATAGCTAAAAACTACGCATAACCACGATATTTTAATAATTCGATTTCCATGATTCCCAATTCACTGATAGTATGAAAAACGAAGTAAATTCCCAATGTCCTATGCAATAATCACAGCAGAATATTTCTGTCAATAAGATTGTAATATTTTTAAGTGATAAATTAATGCATATTCATTTCTCATGTGACCATCATTGGCAGAATTAATAGATTTTTATTGCTTGTATAGAACAGATTATAACGATTATAATATGGGGAAAATAATCAAATAGTAGGTATTCGATATTAATAGAATAAAAAAAACATTTTCTACAAGATATTCGGAAAGCCTATAACAATCATTCAATTTGATGATGCACACTATATATGAGTAAAAACGCATTTCAAGAAGAATAATTTAAAATACCTGTCACACAATGCTAGACTTTTTTGTAGAGATAAAAATTCATTGTCATCTATTTTAATATGATTCTGTAAAGCAGTCTTGAAAATAAATATACTCTTCACAAATTAGAGAGCTTGCGAGAAATACATTCTCATTTTCTTAATATTGTTTATTCGGTTGTTAGTGAAGCTCTTGGCGTTGAAGGGAAATTTTTCGTAAGCAAAATATTGAATTATTTTTTAGAGTAGATTTTATAAACTATGGGTTTTTCAAGAGCATTTTCAAGAGCAACCTTTCAACCGCTTCTGGAAATATCGGTTGTTTTCTGATAAAACGGAGCTGCCTAATTAAGGTTCTATATCCATTTATAGAACCAAATAGTTATTAAAATCAGCACATTACAAACTCAAGAACTGTATTCCTAGTGGTACGTAGATTCATACGGAAGCAGAAAACATCACAGCAATTTTGTTTAAACTCAATGATTCGAGTCAAATATTCTATTGAATGAATCTGAAATCTTAAAAAATGAGAGCTAAATATGTAGATTTTTAGTATCAACTAATTAATGGTATTATATACTTTAATAAAAACAATTTGGAGTTAGCCCAGAGCCAATGATAATCATTTGAATGAAAAAAATAATTGAAATTGATATGAATTTGATGAAGTTTTTTATAATTTATATTTTTGAGAAATGAATTATTGCATTATATACTTCATTTTTAAAGAAAATCCTCCAAGTCTATTTTTATTTTCAACTGTATAGGAACTATAAAGCGTCAATTTATATCACCATCAAGTTCCAGAGATAAAATTTTGCAGCTCAGACTATAATAGGAATTCCAAGTCAGTCCGTAATCATTGTACTTCTAAGATTGACTGACTTTGGGATACGATAAAATTTGTCTGAGCAGCATCGCAGATGAAGTAAAAAAATCAATGGATTCGTTTTTAGAACTCCAGCTTTCACGACATTGTTATAATTACACGCACTCTTAGTTTAGCGTGGTTGTCGAACAATTTGCACTGCATAGAGTGTTGAATAAAAAACTTGTAAGAGTATTTTCGAAATTTTCTGATCAATTGATCACCCTACCAAATTGAAACAGGCTGAAACAATATTTTAAAATTGTCACATTGTTCTACTCACCTCGAAGCAAGGTAGATTCAAGAAATAAGATTTTCTTGTTAAGGCTGTTCCTTCTTCAAACTCAATTTATTCAATCTTTACAATCATGAGCTAGTGCATCAGGGCACACGATTTTCAATCATTTATCAGATACTTGTTTTTACTAGTAACTTATTTAAAGTTACTTTCCAAATAATTCAATTTGATAAAAAATCAAAATTAAAACCTTACTCTATTAAACATAAATTGCATTTGTGCGCGATTTTCATAAAATTGAATAACAAACAAGGAAAAAATTTAAAATTGTATCAAGACATAAGTAAAACTATAGTATCTGCTAAAAACTGAAAATCAATTTTAAGTATTACTTTTTTGATAAGTTAGTTAAAATCAACAATTGGGTTTTAACTTTAAAACAAAATAGAAATACAGTATCTTTAAATTAATACTTTTTGAGTTGATTAACTTTTAATCCATTTTATAGTAGTTCATAATTCAATTGAAAGACCTTTTAAAATTGGGTTTAATTTCAAACGTAGCTGAAAATAATATTCGTTAGAAAGATCAAAATGTACAAGGCTTGACATTTTTTACTTCAGATGAAGCAACTCGATTTCATAATAGTAAGACTCGATTTATAGTAATTTAAGTATTGTCTATAATTCAATAAGCAATAGGAGTCATTAAATAAACTCGAAATATAAATTTTCTGTCGGAAAAGAATTTATTTCAGATAATATTACCTTATTTATAAATTAATGATTTTTCAATTTGCCACAATTGTCAAGTTATCAAACTACCTTTGTAAATTCACAAGTACGGGCAAATATTTTTACTGCTTACTCTTAGTATATCAAGAGTACTAGTTTTAATTCAATTTTAATCAGATTGCATAGACATATTCACTTTTTATCCAAGCGTTATAGTAATAATTCAGTTAACTTTTCCTTAAATTATTTTTTGTTATATTCACAAGAGAATGTATAGAACTAGCGTGGTCTTCGAAAATTTGGGAAGTCAATCGCTTCGATTGGTCTCATTATGTTTCAATTAATCATATGATTGGTCACGATTAAATTAAATTATTCTAAAATCTATAGGTGGTTAAGTGAAAGAGAAAATTTTTTGAAATTGGAAGTCTAAAATAGACTGAGTTAGAACCTAAGCGCTTGGATGGTTAAATTATAGTTGACTTAAAAGTTAAATTATATCTAGTAATATAGATATGTAAAAATATCTTGTTTCATATGAAGCAAATAATTTTGAAATCACTGATAAATAAACTAATTAAATCTCTTTAACACATTAGAAGACATCAATTGAAAGTACCTAACATTATTTACTTAAGATTTAAGATGATAATACAAATTATTAGCGATAAAAATATACATTCATGTGTCGTTTTTAAGATGATGAATAATGACGATGAGTTGCAAACGAATGAAAAACTTGATTACACGATCAGATATCGTGAAAAAGTTGTATCTTATAGATATTAAAATTAATATCTCCTCCTTTTATTGGGAAAATCGTCAGGGCGTGGATGGTCATTACCGCCTTGCCAGCGGCCGCCACCACGATTGTTGCCCATATTTCCCATGTTTCCCATATTGCCCATGTTGCCCATATATCCCATGTTACCCATATCAACTCTCATATCCATTAAATCCATGATCTGACCGCGGTCATCGAAACCACGGTTACCGTGATCCATATTATTATATTGATCCATAAATGCTTTCGAATCCTGCATAATGGCAGTTTTTAAAACAATAATTCAATATCGATGATTAATTGATCCAATGATCATTTAAGCGCATAATTTAAATGATAAAATATTGATTTGTTTGATGAACAATTTTCATAGAGAAAAGGAGACCATCCATGGTTCAACAGCAGCATATGCAGATCGTCAATTTTCGTCAAATCACATAGAAAAAAAGAAAAAAAGGGGAAAACACATAGTTAGAAACTTGTTTTTCATCAACGAACCAGTAGTTGATTAAAAGGTTGAAATAAATGTATTATTTATTGCTGTAAGGGACTAGCAAGAGAATTATTGAAAATTCTTATATTTGTCTATCGAATAAAATTTTGAATAAAATTGTGGGTTAAACTAGTTATACTTGAATCACATTTAAATCGAGTAATTGTAAGTTGGAATTAGAAAATTAAGCTGAGAGACAAATTGTGAAAGTATCACCAGATGTTTTCGCAGTAAACATTAGCATCTTGCTAATCCCTATGCAGACTGAGCGATATATTTTTTAAATGATTGAACAGTCTTATTAAAGATTCGTAATATTCTTTCTCAATACTTAGATCAGACCAAGATAATGCCTAATTAAATATGCAGTTTAAAATTCACGGGTCGTAGCAATTGCATCATAGAGCAACAATTTCCTATTGGTATTGTTTATACAATAAGTAGGTATCATCCAGTTCCTACCTCACACATTAGCTAAAATTTTTTTGAACGCGTGAATTCGCATCTTTGGGATGAGATAAAAACACGTTTCATGCAACTCAAGTTTTCTCGAAAAAAATCGCAATTTCGAGTTTGAAGAACATGATGATTAAAATCTTTCATCGAAATTCTTCATTTGTATCTTAAAATAATAACTTAGAAAATAGTTATTATTATAAAAAAAAATAAAAAATACAAGAATTCAGAGACATTTCGTTGTTGTATGAAAGTCTAAACAAATATTTATAAATGCAATGAGATGTGATCAAGATCTCAAAGCTTATAAAACATCAGTTCAGATTTCTCCAACTTAATTCAACTCTGTATTTGTTTTATGAGCATAGATAATAGTTTTATTCAACTGTCATCTGTTAAATAAACAATAAAATAAATCAATGTGTCACGCGCAATCAGCACAAGTACGAAAATATAATTTCAAAGCCAGGTATCTATAGACTTGCACTATTGCAATTGTACCATCATAGTAACCATTCATTAAGCTTCCTTAACTTAATTGCGTTACAGACACAAAATATTCGCATGATAAATTTTTCGAGCCAATCCGAGTTAAAGTAACACTTTGCTCCCGCCGAGCGCAATCATAATAAAGCTTTAGGTTGGGGGATGTACAAAAAACTGTATTTGTACTTTCTTAGTGAAAAAAGCAAGTCGCAGATTTGCCTCAGTTGGTAATTTTGAAATTTAAGAGTTCCCAATTTTTACTCCCTTGGTGCAAAATGTACTATTTTACACTTATAATGTCGCCTATACTATAGAATTTTTATTTATGAAATAGTTGGATTAAACATTTCTTGGTCTGTCTGAATATCATGGAACCATGTTTGAACTATTTTAAAAATCTAAATATATCAATTAGTATCAATAGGAAATCATAAATCTAGCAACGTAATTTACCATAACTAGTTATTCACTGGTTCCATAATAACGTGATATAGTCGGTTTATAAGATATCAATTCATGACTGACAATGCAGAATTTTCAGTTGAAAAACATGGAGATATCAACAAAACACAGAAAATGAAGATGTGTATAAAATTTTTGGCGCGTGTAGAGAAATTTTTATAATAAAGTTAGTTCAAGAATAATGAATTTACGTAATTTCGTAAGAATAATTTAAAATTACTCTTAATACGTAAGATATGTTATGACCTACCTAATTTTTTCACTAATGAGAATAAGAATTCAGCTGATAGATGCAGGTTCAACTTATAGCATAAGTAAGGTACTACATAATCAGTGTATAGTGGACACTCAGTTCCCATAGACGGTCCGCATAACGGACACTCACTCTCCGTAGATCAAAAAAACAATTTTTTTTTGATAGAATAAAAATTCTAAGCTTATAATTCCCTAAGTGTTTTGTAATACCTCCATGATAAGAAAATTGTGATTCATAATCACTTAAAAGTTTGAGCAATTAATAGAAATCAGTTATTTTTAATGAAAAATCTAATGTTTCAAAGAACATTGAACCAATGTGCAAGTGAATATTAGAATTCTGCATGTCATTGGTTGTGGGTTATGTGATTTTTCTGGTACCATTTAATAATATTTCAATTAGAGATGGTTATTGGTACTAGATAAAAATATACGAATCTGTCAAGAGATTAAGCGATTTTTGAGTAAATCACATAAAAATAAAAAATAAAATAATGATTGAAAAGTTTAAGAATATGAAAGGAGAATAATTAAAATGGGTACATTACCACTGGCATGTTGTTTCCTGTGAAAAAAAAAGAAAAAAAAATAGTTTAGAACGTTGTACTAAGTAATAAATTTGAATATTCAATTTCATATGATGTTGAACTAACCATCTACTGGAGGATATCCATCACGTTCTGGTGGCATGTTATCGAAATTTTTATTTGGTCCAGGAACTCCGCCACGCATAGCTTGTTCCTAGTGAATAAAAAATAAAAATAAAGTAATTCCAAATTCAATCATCAATCATCAATTATATTACAATATTTCAAAAATAACGAACCTGCATGAAAAGATTATTTTCCTGTTGTCTCCTATGAAGCTCTTCTTCTTGACGTCTAATTCGCACGGCCATTTCTTCTTGCTGCCTTCTTCTGAGTTCTTCCTCGCGCGTCCTTTGTTCTTCTGCTTGTCTTTCTTTCATTTCCCATTCTCTCTTCTTCCTTTCACGATCGGCTTCGCGTACACGCAATTGTTCTCTAAGGATTTCAGTCTCATGTTCGTTTCGAGCAAATTCCATTTGAGCTTCTAATTTTTCTTCTTCCATCATCATTTCACGTTTCAGGGCATCTTCTTTTTGTTTGTATAATTCATGTAACTGCTTCCACCTTGTACCATACTCATGCTCAAAGCTACCTATGGAAGCAAATCGTGGACCTTGTTCGCGGGCTTTGTAAAAATCAGTATGCTTTTTGGGCAAGTTCTTGTCAGGATATCCATCAATATCATCATTCTGTTCAAATGGTTCACAGACAACTGGTCTTAGTGACCTAAAATAAAAAAACAAAATTTTAATTGATGATTGAGTTTATGGAGATTATCATTTTTATCTTTTAGCACATGAAAAAGCCAAACTACTGAAAATTTCCCAGTGTAATGAATTAAATTGGTATTCTATTATAAAAATTGATTTTGTTTTCACACTTGTAGATAAAATAGAATCTACTATGCATGGTGATGGTGATTCATACTCCTTTCAATAATATAACGGTACGGAATAGCAAAAAAAAAATTATTGTAAATAATTCTACTTACGCAGTCAAAAAGAAACATCTTTCACTGCACTTTCGCAGAGCTGCCTGAGCACTTGGTTTTCTAGAAAATTCAACGATTCCTTCACCAGTAGATTTTCCTCTCTCATCAACAATTACAATAGCGCGTTCAATGTCTCCAAATACACCAAATGCATGAGCAAGAAGTTCATTTGATACCCAAGGAGTGAGATTCTTTACTTTAATAACAGAAGAATTTGGTGCGAATCGTACTTTAAGTACTCTACCTTTACGAACACTACCATCCAATTCCCGTTTGGCTTTTTCAGCATTAGCATGAAAATCCTGAAATAACAAAAATAGAATAAATAGTTTGAAAAAAATAAAGAGTTATTCTTTAGAGTTGATAGGCATAATCATTTGCAAAAAGCAGCCATGGGGTATTATCATTTCTTTCAAACGGTAATTTTTTTAATCATTTTGTACTTTTTTTACTTAAATAATAAATTCATTATTAATCATCAACTTACCACTTTCAAAAAAGCAAAATTCTTCTCCTTGTTCAAAAACAATTCAGTAGTTTCACCATAAGGAGCAAACATTTGATGTAGTTCATCCTCTGTGATATCGTTGGTTAAATTTCCAACATACAATCGACTTCTGCTGTTGAATTTTTTCTCTTCTATATCTTGCGGTGGCAAATCATGAGTAGGTCCACTGATAGACATGATGCGTTCCATGATTCTATCATCTTGAGATCTACTTGGCATACCTCTATCATGTCCACCGGGGCCACCCCGACCTGCAGCACCGCGTCCTCCTGGTCTAGCACCACCTCTCTGATTCATTCCACCAGCACTTCCACCACCTCCTCTTTGGTTCATGCTCTGGTTTAACATACTCTCATCAAGCATTCCTTCAATCATTGACTCGCTCATTTTTATCTAAAAAAGATAGTAAATAAATTGTTAAAAGACTGAAAATATTTTTGATAAATAGGTTTACAGATTAAAGTCTAGATTCAAAATTATAAAAAATCCACAATAAAAATTCAAAAAACTACAGCATAAGTTTGAACTTTGAATTAAAATTTAATTTTAAAACCCGGATTATAAATGTAGTGAATCAAACTCAGCTACTGTATATGAAAACCGGAAACCAATGTTAAGGCCGCCATATTGAATTGTAGCAACTCCTGATGGAAGCTAAAAAGAAGAACACGCGGCAGCCATTATGCGCACTGCGAGTGAGCATCTATGATACCTTTTACAGTTTGCCATCTCAAATTAGCGTATGATAATCAAAAACATCGAACTTGAACCCATCGAAAAAAAGCTGAATTGGCTACGTAGATGACGATTTGAAAAAGCGTCTTTTTGCCAATCAATTTTGAGAAACACGTGAACGAAGAAAGTTACAAGGAAAATGAGTTTTATCAGTACCTGAACGTCGTTCATGTTCATGTTTCCTCCGGAGCCGCTGGTATTGCCACGATTGCCGCCTTGGTTGCCTCCGGGACCTCCGCGATTGCCACCGTGACCTCCAGAGAACCTATTGCCACCGGACTTTCTATCGCCACGACCACCGGCGCGGCCACCTCTGCCTCCGCCGCCTCCGCGGTTTTGCCCTCCGCCAGAATTATTGCCCTGATTACCTTGCTGCTGGCCACCCGAGGAGTTTTCGTTTTTAATCTCGGACTGATTGTTCTGGCCCTCGGACTTGAGCTGTTCCTCGCCCATCGTGTTGCCGGATGATTTTTGTCGATCGATGTTCTGGAATTGCTGGATGCGTGGCATCTGACGAACGAGCGTCGTGAATTGCCTTCGGGTAGGCGATAGAGCGGCAGCAGCACCAAAACTCGAGCGGTGCGTCAACTGAGAAGGTCGAGCAAAGAGAGAATGAGATGAAACGGCTTGGCTACGTAGACGCGAATCACGACGCACACGTATCACGCAGTACTTTCTTCGGTCTTCTGCGCAGTACAGGATCGTGCCAGTTACGGCGTCGCTTTAGTCGCTATATATATGCAGCGAAGCGCCTCAGTCGGTATACTTGACGTGGCCAGCTGTGGCGCTCGCCACGCTTACACATGCAATTCCGAAAATGAATCGATTGTTTTTTATTAATCTTCCACAAACAAGTTTTTAACTTGATTTTTTGTCAAGTTTAATTTTTACTCAATTTTATTGATATTCAACAAGTTTTATTCTTTGCTCGTCACCCAGAGAGAAAGAGAAAGAGTATTTTTATTGCATTTATTTTACTGTTGAGCTGAAAAGTTCATAAGTCACAATAAAATTAAACCCGTTGTAATTTGAAAAAAAAAATAATAAATTGAATGTGTATAAAAATTAAAAAGATTCGTCAATCGCAAATAAAAATGATTTAAAATTGAATTAATCAATTTTTATTTTTGGTATTTATTATGTCCTAGTTGAGTTTAAATGAAGATGTAGAATTTTCTCTATCGTAGGTGTAAAAAAGAAATTTTAAAAATTTTCCTTTATCCATTTAGTAAATTTCCTATCATCAGAATCAGAATTATTAAAATTGAAAGTCAAGAAATGAAATAATATAAGTTAGGCTACGGTCAGCCGTCACGTGGCCGCCGTATGCTAACGTCGCCTCGAGCGCAGCGGCAAATACGAGCGGATATTATGTTAGTACTGCATTGTCGTAATGGAGAAGGTCGTAAAAAGTGAAAGCGCTGCTTTATGAAGTATAAATAATTGTCGTTTCTCGCCTCTTTTCGCCGAATACTGTTATCTCTACGGAATCATAATTCGAACGACTATTATGATTTTGGTATTAAGGTAAATTAACGACAGCCGGATTATTGAAAATGTGCACTTTAGGTGAAAGTGAAACTTTTTCATCGCAAATGGCATTGCGAACGCAAATTAAAGATGTGCGTCTTCGATTGTTTTGTCTATTCCGTGTAGAAAAGAGCGACGCTAAATTTCATAACTATTTTATAGAGCAAAAAAAATCGGATTAATTTGAAATTTAAACCCAAACAATCGGTTGTGATTAAAAAATAAAATGAAGATTATAAAATCCAGAATATTCTTATGCCATATTATAATTATGTTCAAGTCAATATAAAGAGAAATAGATTTTTATTATTCTGTAGAGATTGGAACCATAATTGAGAGACCAAAGTGAGAGGTCGAAACTGTTCACGGAGACAATAATTTTTAACCGTGACGAGCAATAAATATAAGAAAGAAGGTAGGGATTTGCTTAGATAAATTTTCTATAAAAGGCGAGTGTCCGAGATGTTATGATACACAGGCCCTCTCGTGGGTGTGCAGGCAGCACAGCGCGTGCAGTGGCCGCAAAAATGGCTCCGGGTACATCTTCCAGGATTAGGTGGTTATTCACTGTGAGTAATCTTGGTTATTATTATTATTTTATTTCATTTAAATTGTAAGACAATTGAAACTTACTAAATATAAAAGCTTGTATACGAAAAGTTCGAAAAAGTTAGGGTTTATTGATAAAGTAAAACATAGCATGTGCCAAAATATAAATGGTACGATTTAGACATTGATTATTATCAAATATAAGAGAAAAAAATACATTCGCTAGCATCGATTGTAGCAGTTATCGTAGTTTTCACAAGTATGAAGTACTTTCGACGAATGAGAGCAAAAAAAGGTAAGGACATGAAATTTGCTTACGAAATTGCTCGGAATCGAAAGGGTTTTCTGGACTCAACGCTACTGAAACATCGCATCAATCTTCCTTGAATGGTTCAATGGATTTTCAACGTTTTTTATGCAGACCAAGCAGTGTCTTGCACTCAACTTTTTGATACAAACGCGAATGGATTAATTTTTTACACACCCATTTATCTACTGTAAATTAATCATCACACGTCAACATTTTCATAAACACATCAACACACATTACAAGCATACTAAGTCACTTTTACTCAACGTTGTGAATTTTGAGTTAAAATGTTGAATAAAATCTCTACCCACAAACATACCAATAAAATTGACTACACTTGATAAACCCATTCATTTGAAAGTGGACTAGGCCTATTGGGGACACCACTTAAAAAAAAGCGCGCCAATGTATCTACCGCAAGGTGGTGAGGAAATGATACGCTTTTTATGAACAACAAATTAGCCGTAAATTCCTTATTTCAGCCAAAATTACAAACCTTTGGCTGTAAATTTTTACTTGTTGATTCATTAGTATTAAAGAATTAATAGATTTTTTTCATATGTTATGAATTTTCGATTCTTAAAACACATAAAAATTATTTTCCTTTAATCAGACGAAAGAGTTATCTTAATTTTCTTGTATCTTGAAGAGAACGACTCTGAAAGAAAAATGTACGCAACCAATAAGCCCTAAAATTAGTTTAAAAATAATCATAAATATTTCCAAAATTTTTATAGAAAAAAACTGTCTAGCTGTTCCTTTTCAAAATGAATAATAATAACGATTTTTTAATAAAAAAAGTCATTGTTACAATAGTCCCAAAACACCACTCATTGGATTAAAAGAAAAAATATTGGTGATTTTTTTTAGAAAATCCGGATTCCAAATCTCATGTGGTATTCTCATTGATGCACAAATCTTTATTTTTTTTTGATCGACAATCAAAGTTGGAAAAAATTATAACTGATATTGGAAAAATTATTCACACGATAGATTCGTAAATAGGCTTAAAATTAAATAGTAAAAATTACGCATTTTTCTTAATTTTTGTTTTATTTTGTCTTTAACAATACGATGGACTAAAAAGTGTCGTTACCTTTTTCTGTCCTTGTGATTAGAGCGAATGCTTCATTCAAATTTAAATATTTACTTAAACTGTGTCATTTATTATAAAAATGATTATTTCGAAATGAATTCTTAACGACAGATTCATTTAAGTTACCAATTAGCCTTTAAATTCTTGTGGAAAATCCATGCTAAATTATTCTCAATTATCTTTGTGAACTCGTGCATTATGTAATTACATCAATCGTTTGAACATTTCAATCTTGAACTTCGAATGTAAGTCTTTCTAAATATGAATTATAATGTATAGGCTCTGATCGTTATAATAAAGTTACATCGATGGAAAATCGTAAATTATCCGTTAATATCTATGTTGTATTACAGAAAATAAAAAAGAACGCTTTCTACTCGAAGATGAAGCAGAGAACGCGTCACAACGTTGATTCGTGAAATCAAGCGTGACGTTGGACGCAAGGGTCTCGAGCAGCAGTAGCAGCGTTAGCAAAATGAGAATCAAAAAAGAAAAAGAAAAAAACTTCAAGAGGGAGCCGGACCAGAGGGGTGACAGAAAAAAAAGCAGAGGAAGAAGAGGAGAAGGTACGGAATCGCCAGCTGCTGGCGGCTCGCGAGCCGCACGAGCTTGCGCGCCTCGAACCCCGCCCAGTGTACAGAGCCATCGGTGGGCAATGCTATACCAGGTATGATATAGAGCCGTCGCGCCAAGACGAGCGAGAGTAAAACTCGACGGCAGCCGTCAGTCGCGCTCGAGACCGCGTGCAGCGCGAACCAGAGTCCCGGCTATATATATATCTATAGTATATATATAAAAGCACGCGTATACGTGTGTTCCTGTGTGTCTCTTGTGAGCCCAGCTCGCGGATGTATTCGTGAATATCGTCCGATCATTGCTCGCTGTGACTCGCGGATATAGAGTATCTTCGCTGCTCTCGAAATTTCATCGAGTTGTATAAAAAAATCGTTGTAATTTTGCAAACGACGAGAGCTCGTTTTCATCGAACAGGCTTGGATAAATTTCCAAGGCAATGTAACGAAGCATCGAAAATTCGGCAAGATACAAAGCAGCAGCAGCAGTGGCAAAGAATATAGCACACAGGCCCAAAGTAGAGCGTAATATCGGAAAGTTTTACGGATCATTTATGTTACGTATGCAATATGCATGTATGCATCCAGACAGGCCGTATAATGCGCTACGAGGCTCGGCTTGCGAAGAGGCGTTGATCGCGGCGCAATCGGTTTCCAGCGTATCGCAATGCAAATCGCTCGCTGATCGTTATTGTTGCAAAGTTTCCCTCGTATACGCTCGTAAGCGTTTACATATACTGGTGTACGGAGTCGTGTGTGTTTTGCTCGCGAGAAAAAGCGCCTCTAAGTGAGTGATCGTGCGTCCATGTGTGTTGTGTGCCCCGGGGAGCTTTCGACGCGCCTCCAAGAAAGCGGCTGCGTGCTTTCTCCAAATATACTCTGCCTTACGGAGCTTGTACGTACACACACACACACACACACACATACACTCACACACACACACAGGTGTGTAATGCCGAGTGCTAAGTTGGTGCATTTCCGATATCGATCATATATCGTTTGAGAGAGTTGCCGAGCAGCTCGCCAGTGTACTAGGCGCGCGTGTGCCGCCTGCAAAGCAACCTGCAAACTTGTGCGATTTGTATTTACACGGTGTACGGCAGTCTGAGGGGCTCAATTTCGAGCGAAAATTGCCGAGACCTTCGCGTCACGAAGCTCCGCGGGGAGGGGCCAATCAGCGCCTGGATTATAGAGAGAAAGAGACACGCGCGCAGCACACACGCCGAATGAAGATTTATCGCCGACTCGCGAATTTTTGCAAGAAACTTGGCTCGAGCAGAGTCGTCGTAGGCTAGCTGCCGATTTTCAAGGTTCAAAAATCGATGATGCCAAAACGATAGTAATCGTTTGGACTCGAAAACGGATGGAAGATTGATGCCGTCCGCAAGCTGCTCGAAGCATATACGTATGCTTGCCGCATAGCGTCGTGTAACGCAGCAGCAGCGAGTAATCGAATGCCGAACCGATTGATCAAAGTCAACGCCGCGATTGAAAATAAAGCACAGCGAGGCTAGCCTGTGTGTCGTCGCGTGGCCGCCTCCCAGCTAGTCCATCATAGAAGCAAGACGTGCGCGGCGATATTAAAAAAGCCTCCAGATCAGACCAAGAGAGAAGAGACAGAGCTGCTGCGACAAGCTCTATTGATGAAACACTCGCCGAGACATTGACGCAATCGGATCGAGCAAATCGTTGCGGAAAATTGAACTTGCGGACGAGATCACAGCCAGCGATGGAGGAGGAGTATGCTTTGGTGCACAGCAAGAGTAGCTACGAGATGAAGAGCAGACAGCAGCAGCAGCAGCAACCGTCGACTTCCAAGTCGTCGCGACATCATCGTGGCGTTGCTGCCGTTGACGTCCCGTCGACGACGAAGCATCGCGAGCTCTGCTCCTGATCCTAACTCGGCCAAGTAGCAGCAGCAGCAGCAGCAGCGGCAGCCGTGGCGGACCCCTCGGAGCAAGCGCAGGCCGGCACGAGCCACAAATCGTCGTCGCACCATCATCAGCACCATCACCATCTGTACTACTACCAGCGGCGTCGGGAGCTCCATCACGAGCATCAAGCCGAGGCGCCGACTTGTCGCAGGCATCGGCACCAACCGACCAAGGAAGCCCCGCTCGAGTTGAAGCCGCTCGAGCTCAAGGCCTCGACGACGTTCCCGCGCGAGAGCCGAGCCAACAGCTCGAAGGTGGCGCCGTCGAGCCGGGGCACGATGCGCGCCAGCTCGGAGCTGCTGCTCGACGCCAAGGTGCGCCAGCTGCTCGCCGAGCAGGAGGAGCGCCGGCTCAAGTTCCTCGAGCTGAGTCGCATCAGCGCCGAGGCCGCCCAGCGCAAGAAGCTCAAGCCGAGGCGCACGTGCAAGCAGCGGCTCGTCTTCTACGCGACCTCGAGCCTGGCCCTGGCCGCGATCTCGGGCGGCTGCGCCCTGCTGTTCCTGGTGCCGCTCTACGTGGACCCGGCCATCAGCACGCTGAGCGCGGACTTCTTCCCCGAGCCGGTCCTGTGCACGACGACGAGGCGCGACGAGCTCTGGGGCCTGTTCAACTGCACGTGGTCGTCGTGCCGCGAGGGCTGCACCAGCGAGTACTACCGCTGCACCCACATCTACGTGTCGTACACGCCCTGGTCGAACTACAGCGAGGACAGCGCCGAGGGCGAGCCCGACCCCGTGGACGGCGTGCTGCTGGTCAACATCAAGGGCTGCGGCTACCCGCCGGCCGTCGACTGCGACAACTTCACGCGCCTCATGGGCCAGGAGGGCTCGCAGTTCCCCTGCTACTACAGCCGGGTCAACGGCAGCGTCGTCATGGCCGAGTACGATCGGCAGGCCGAGGTCGACGTCATACTGCACTACTTCGCGCTGCCGCTCGTCACGACCCTCGCCACCACGGCCCTGCTCTGCGTCATGCACTGCGACTGCAGCTGCCAGCCGCCGCCCTCGAGGAGGTATCGCAACAACAGGAGGGTGGCGTCCTCCGGCCAGCAGCAACCGCATCAGCAGCAGGCCTCGAGGCCCGACGACCTTAGGTACTGGTGGCTTTGCTTTCACCTTTGCAAGTGTATATACCAGGGTGGCTTTCGCATCGTTGGCTCCGATTCCTGATAGAGACACTTGACTCGCGTTAACTTTTGCGTGTAGATATTATACATACCTTAGCAAACAAAAGCATCATCACCGATTCAACTTGCATTATTATCATCTATAATTATTCTCATATTGTAAATTGTGCCAGGCATCATTTTATCGGGGGCCTGACGCGCTGACGAGGCACTTGGAAAATCACACGCCTATACCTATAGAGTCCATTCATAAACGAGCTTATTCCGAGAATGTTCAAATATACGCAATATGCTGTCCAAAAGCAAATTGTTCCCTTCAAATATTTTTCGTCCGATGCGTCAAAGCAATAATTAAAAGTATTTGTTGATCGGTGATTTTTTCCGCGTGCCTGGTAAACCGTCATGAGTATGCGCTACTTTTACCGCTTTCATTCATCATTATATTATGTATGCACCGAGAAAAAAATTCGTTTGAGCTACGAAAATTTGCGGTAAGGATTTACCTACATCGTGGTCGATTAATCTCATTGACATTTTTCTTCAAATTCCACTGTGGGCGAGTAATATTTAGAATTTAAATTGGCACTAATGACTTTGTTTGACCACTTTTATGAACAAACAATTTGCATGACCACGTGATGATAATTTTCAAATGAACTAATGTAGGACTCGTGCTAGCCCGAAACAAAATTTACCGAGAGATCATCAATTATTAAAGGAATTGATTATCACTTTTATTCGTAATTAGTAATTCTGCTTAGACATTAGTTGAATCAACCAATATTTTTTCTCGGTGCAGCTTGACCCCGCGGTAATTTGAAGAATTGTAGTGAATGATAAGTAATATTTTTTTCACTGCATCCAAAAGAATTATTCAAAATTGTGTGTTTGCAGTGCGAATGATGAAATAGACAATTATATACTTACATTTAAACAATTACAATGATTATGTAAAGCGCATGAACTTAAATTTCAATTTGAAAAACTGAAGAAACTTTAGAAAAGTCGTCATTTTTTACACTGATGTACGTTAAATTCGACGCTTTTTTAAAATGTACTTTCGTTTGCAAGAATGATGCAATAAAATAGTCACGATTCATTAGTTTAGTAAGTAGCAAAAGAAATTATGAGCTTGCTAGAAAAATTAGAATAATAGTACGTATGATGTGATTCGATGTACAATATCGATGACAACTGTATAGTTCACACGAAATCTATAAATTTCACAAAACAGATCGTTACAAGTAGACTAGATACTAGATGATGCACTAAAAATAAATTAAGCGATTGAATTATTTGCATCAAACATCACATTTGACACAGAATTTTATACCACAAACACACGAAAATTTCATGCATCTGTAGTTCAGAACATAATGTATATAAATTTATCGAAAAAATAAATTATAATACTCATGTAAGATAGTTGATTTCAACGAAATGAATGCAATGTTTGTGCTTATTGCAAAATAAACAAAAAAAAATCAGTGAATTGCACCAGGAATAACAGGTACAGTACAAAAATATATTAAGCATAAGTTTTTTCAATTTTATTATCCTATGAGGACAATTAATCGACTGTATGGAAGAGCGAGGGCACCGTTGAGACCAATACGATATGTTCCTATACTTAATACGTGAAACAAAATTGTTCAATGCTGAAAATTTTCGACTTCTTACCAAAGTGTGAAAAGTTCTGCCGAGAGATTCATAAGTGCATATTTAAAATATGTGGATGTGACAGTTTTCGGATACATATTATTTTTGCATTAATGAAAAGTGTAAAGTATTATTAATTGCTACTTTTTTATGTCACGCATATATAGTTCACCCGGCTTGAATGAACTATTTATAATGGTATACGTTCAACTCATGGCATTTTACTTAATAGAAATCAATCATTTGTATAAGATCGCTTACTGCCTTTCAGTGAGATTTTTTTTTGTAATTTTCAAGCTTGATGCAAAAATGAATACATAAATTTATTGAGAAAAAAATGTCAGTTGCGTTGTTCATTAATATAATTGATACAGCTGCATTTAACATATCGACACATATCTGATCATATAGTCTATGCGAAGTTACGTAACTCGGTTCATTGTTAATTATAAAACTTGGCAAACGACTTGATACTCCATTGATACGCATTTGAATTATCGATGCAAAATTGTACATATATTATTAAAAGCGTTGCTTCGCTTATACAGACTCGCTTTTGTACCCACACACCAACACATACGGAACACTCGCACGAGAGCGACATCGATTTTAACAGCTTCGCATGACTATAAACTTTTTCAAACCACAGTCGTGCTATACAACGGATACATGTGTGCAGTTGTACACGTGTATATCATTTCCATAATATACATCGGCGAGTTCGCGTCTGTTTTGCCAGTTTATACAGTTAATGTAGTACCGAATAATCTACATTAGGTAATTGGTATTGGTTACACATTGCAAAGGAAAGACAGAAACAGATACAATTTGTATGTGTGCAAACAGGTAAAGAATGCTCCTTATATCTTGATTTTTCAATTCTGATTGTCCTTTTAGTAACGTGAAATACCCCGAGCGCTCGATCAGCTCATGTGCATGCGAATCTATCGAATCGCAGGATTCAAAGTTCAGAACTGAGAGAAAGAAAGAGAGAAACAGGACGGAGAAAAATAAAAGAAAAACAAATAGCGCATGACATTTTCAGCTTGTCAAGAGCAGAATAATCGAAAAGGAAAAAAGCAGAGAGAGAGAGAGAGAGAGAGAGAGACCCGAGCGCTCGCGCGCAGGATATATTTTGTAAACTCAAGAATTGCTTTTTCCTTCCGTTATCGACTTTTGCCCTCCCGATTTATTCTTATATAAATGAAAAAAAATAAAATATGTTTTTCGATGTTATACACTCCATCAATGCGACTATACAATAATCGCGAGTAACAAGATTTTTATTGTCCCCTGGTTTGAATTTCGTCTTACTCCGTATGCATGGAGAGAGATACACGTTTATAAGAAACGGCCGAATGCACGCGCCATGCTGGTGCGGGAGGTGCATCAGGGCGTTATCTAATCTCGTGGGACGCAGCGCTCGCTCGCGATAAACTTCATAGCCTTCCGTAACTTTTTTTTCTCTCGAAGCTCGCGCGCGCACACGCTCAAGGATACCAAAGAGGAAAAACGAGGGAGAAAAAAAAGGAAGAAGGAAGAGAGAGTTTCCGATTCTCGCGCGATAGTATTTTCGAATGATTTTATCGAAGCGCTCAAAAATCGTTAATCAGCCAGAGAATGGGATGGAGAGAGAGAGAGGGAAGTTTACGTAGTTGATGTTTCTCATAGTGGTGTAACAGGGCACATGTACGCGCGTGCGGTAATAGTTTTACGGGAATGGATCGAAGCGAGATTTTCCTCTCCTTTTTTTTCTTCACTCGTAAATCCAATTTTGCGAAAGGAAAGAAATAACGAAAGAAGTTACGCGACTGGGAAGTATTAAAAGTTAGCCAGGGAAGAGAGAAAGAGAGGAAAATGTTGAATATTAATTTACACGGGCGTGCGCCGTTTAAGCTCTGTGCGCCGAAATGCGGACGAGCGTATACTTTTAATTCCGGAGTGCAAAGCGCGAGCAATAGCGAGGATGAAAAATGTTGGAGAACGCTTCGAAGGATCGATTTTTCGTCTGCTCCACCGACCGCGAACACAATTTTTTTATCGATGAAGCACGATACTTTGCATTTCATTATTCGAGCAAGTCACGAAAGCCCAACCGCATCTGTCGTGGATCACTTGCACGAGGCCAAGAGTCCATTAATAATATGTATCTCGCGGTCTGGAAAGAAGAAGAAGAAGAAGGAGGGAAAAAAAAGAAAACACGTCGAGAAAATCCGCGTTATAATTGTCTGCGTTACTTATAAATATAGGTTCACGCTTGCACAGCGGCTCGCTCTATGTTGCGTGTATACAGGCCACGAGCTGCGTAGTCTTTATAGTCGTCATACTTCTTTTTTTTCGCAAGCGCTTCGATCAAATATTAAAAAAGAGCAAGTGCCGCGAAATAAAACGTTTTTATTGTACGCGATACATACATACATTATAGCCATTGTTTCGCTATGCAAGCCAAGAGCCGTAAAGAAAACTTGCAGTATTTACGTAGACTTCAGTGGGAGCGGGCGATAGCTGCGGCAGCGCGCGTGTATATAAAGCCAGAGCTCTATAGGTTGGCGAGAATTTTTCGAGATTTGCAACGCGTCGGCGGCAAAGTGGCATAATGCTTGTTGCGTTTGACTCCGCTCTCGTTTTTTCCCCGCAGCACCGAGTTGTTTCTTTCTTTGCTCTCGTGCTGCTGCTGCTGCTGCTGCTGTATACGCCGGGTATTGTCTAAATGTCAGTCGCGGTTGCGTATAAGGAAAGTTATACAGAGAAAGAGTTTGCGATATAAGAAATATCATGAAATAAGACGAAGGCATACTTGAATCTGTTTGCCCTTTTTGCAACTGAATGTAATACTTGTGCGCGAGCCTAATAGGTAATGTATACATAATTAATGAAGTGCAAAGTTTCGCTGAAATAATCGGCTGCGTTCCACTTGGAGCATAATTATTATGTGATTTTCGTGAAAATCAAACTGTGTCGTAACAGGGTTCGTCGTTACGAGACGGTCTACAAAAATTTCGATGCCTTATGGCGCTTCGTCGCGATCGGATAATAATTTGTCACTGCCCGACGAAAATTCATTACGAGCTCTAGTGAGCGCTTGCACGTCCGAGTGCCGCTGCATAATTAATGTGTTTTCGTTCGCAGGCCAACAGGACCATTCCGGAATATAATTCATATGGGTAGAAACGAAGCATGTATGGGTTGGAAAAAAAAGGTGGCTATAGGCCGCATACGATCGGCCATCGCGCGGCTCATTAGAGACCGCACACGAAGCTCTACTGGGCGCGCGCGCGCGAAACGAGCCAACGGCCAGCTATATGTAC